TGCCAGTGTGGATGGGGAGTGAGTTACAGCGCTGGGGGCGGCTTTACAGCGCTGCAACTCGCAAGTGTAGCCCAGGCCTATGATAAACGAATGAAAGCGGCAACAAGAATTTTAGTAATATATTTTTCCATAAATAGGGCACTTCCGATTAAATAATTTTTGATGTGATGTTACAGTAATCAGATTTATGCAAAAAATACAAAAAAGTTTACAATTTCAATGCTTCATATATTATCCTGGTGATACCTCAGATTCTACAATAGGTAACATCAAGCTAGAAAGAGAGCATTATCATTGTGAATTTTGCCTGATGTTATAAAATAAAATTGTACTTAACTTGCTGTCATGTGTTCTGGAAATTATTACCTTTACCTAGCAGAATGTTCTGACATAAAAAAATAACAGATGCATTGTTTTAATTTCATGCTAAATCTTTTGTTGTCTTTGATCTTTGCATGACATTTGACTAAACAATAGAGTACTTACAGTAGAGAATATAAATTTGTGTTTTTTATCTTGACTCTTTTTCAACTGAACTTAATTAGAAGTTACATCAGGAACTTAGTCAGTGTTGTATCATTTCTTGACATTTCAGAGCATTGGTTGTTTTATTAATTCCACATCATGCTTGTTTTCTGTGAAGTGCAGTCAGCAGACTAAGCTGACCAGCATATGTTCGTGAATGGTTTTTTACAGTTGTTCAGTATAAATTAAAAATCTATTGGGAGCTAGTCTCTAGTTGCATAACCCTGAGCAAACAGAGTGGCTACTAAAGGGATATAAAGGAATGCTTTGTCTCTTAGTTCTGTCCGGGTTTCTTAAAGCATAGATACTAGAACAACTTTTATAGTGAGGGTGATGAAAGCCATTAAAACAAAAATATAAACCCTCCAAATGATGGAAACCACTTCAAACCAGGGAGTGCTGCCACTCCCCCAGCATTCCTAGTTCCAGCGCCTATGTCTTATAGCACTTTTTTTTACTTTGAGATCTCATGTTTATTCTGGTCTCCCTTAGTCTGTATTAACAGATTCCTAAATCATGCTGTTATTTCAATGTGTGTCCTTCTACAGGTTGTTAAGTGTGCTGTGCTGTGATCTAGATACACTTCTACTTTTAGAGTCTCAATATAAAGTATCACAAGTGCTTCTAAATGCCCAGAAGGAGAACGTCATAGAAACTTCTGAAGGACCTGGGTAAGAAATGATCAATATAAATATGATGTTATTTAGACTCAGTCCAGCAAATACTTACACATCTGAATAGCTTTATTCATACAAATACTCCAATTGGCATCAACTAGACTCCTAACATACGTAAAATTATTTACATGCATGTTTGCAAGATTGAGGCCTTAATCTTTAATAGTAAAAAAATGCAAAAGTAACAAACTGAAAAAGAGAGAAATATGTTGTCTTTAGTCTCTTTAATATACAATAATCCTAAAGGCAACTTGTAATAATAGCAGGCACAACATTTTCAGATGTAAATGTGATTGTCAAGTTGTGTTATTAAAGGACCCTTATAAAGGTCTGCGGCGGGGCGAGGACTCACCTGTGCAGCACCTTCTGCTGGTAGTCTTGGGAATTAGCTCTTCACCACCCCCGGAGCGCCCTCTGTAGGCTGGTGTCTTGCCTGTCACTGGCCCCTGTGTCCCTCCCGGACCTTGGTGCCCTTTTACATCAGGGTTCTGCCCCGTGCAGTAACCCACAGTCTGGGTTTCCCCACCCTGGGGAACCTGCAACCCGCTATCCCCACCTTGCCTGCAGCCTGGGGTTTTATCTGGCTGAAGCTCCCCAGCTCCCTCTGCCCTTCCCCAGCACTGCCTCACCTCAGGTACCCTACCCAGCTCCTAGGCAGCCAGGTCCTTCTCTCTCATAAGCTAGAGAGAGAGAATGTGTGTGTGTGAGCTCCTGGCTCACAGCCCTTTTATAGGGCCAGCTGTGGCCTGATTGGGGCATGGCCTCAGCTGTGGCTGTTTCCCAAATCAGCCTAGCCTTTTCTCTCAGCCCCGGCCCTCTCCAGCGGCTGGCTTTTAACCCCTACTTAGCCGGAGAGGGTTGACCGCCCCGCTACAAGGTCTGATATGTACAAATAAATATACCTTGAATTTTCCTCTTTGTAACCTCAGCCCTCTCTCCTCCTCTTATGACTTCTAATTGCTAATTAGAAGTCTGTTTGTTCTTTAGCTCTCTCAGTATGTTGCACATTAAGAACTTGTCACAGTGTTTACATATGTGATCGGTATAGAGCTGAGACTCTAATAGTATGGCCTAGATCCTTAACTGGTGTATGTCACTGATTTGTACCAAGTGAGGATTGGACCTATTATCTTTCTAAATAATGGCTACACACTGTTCTTATAGCAGACTCTGTATATGAAAAGTGAAAGTGTTTTTCCTTTTTAAAACAAATTTCCTTTGGGCTAGATTGTGACTTTAGGCACAGTCTTGAACAAGGGGTGGCATGTAAGCTCTGAATCACTATGCCCTCCATGCTTTATTTTGCTCCTGGAGTAGTAATTTGCTTCTGGCCTATATCAGCAGCAAATTTTAAAACCCCCACTTGAGCTCAGGTGCTCTAGCCACTGAATTGGCAGGTGTAACCAAGGATCCCCCAAATTCTCCATCCCAACCCACCCACTTGCTTCTCCTCTGCCTCAGGTGGGAAGTAGGCATGCAGAGCCTACTTATTCCTACATGCCCAAGACCCCAGGTTCCTTAAGCCAATTTAGGGATGTGAGAGTTGTTTTTACTGCCCTACTAGTAGCTGAAAGCCCATGCTGTAGCACCGATGTAATTTGTGAAGTCAGAATGACTTTGCTATTCAAGTTTATGATTTTATGGTAAGTATGTCTGAGGGCTGGGGAGTGTGTGTTGGCTGGTAGTTTTCTGTTGATTTGTTTGGGTGGTGAAAGAGAGTTTTGTGCACTGCAGTGCAGGGTTATGTGTGTTTGGGGTTATTCTGTGTGCTGGCTGTGTTGATTTGTCTCTGGAGGGCTGTGCTGGGAGATTTGTGTTGATTTGTGTGAGTTGCATGTATACTGTCATGAAGGGCTCTGTGTGTTTGGCGTTATTGTGCGTGCTGGTTTTGTTGTTGTGTGGGTGGATGCTTTACGTGTGGCAGTTGGGACAAGTAATCCACAATCTGTGTGTGCAGTCTCCCTCATACAGCCAATGAAATTGTTGCATGCAAATTAGCTTTAAGGTGGTGATTGAGTTACCTCTGATATCACAATGATCTAGGACTCTTGGCATGAAATAGATGCATGGCTTGCTGTCACGTAGGTATAATTCATAAATGGCTGAGAACTTTAAAATAAAATAGACATGAACTGCGGATCCCAGTGATGATTGAATCTTGGGATAGTCTGAACAAAAAGAGCACTCAACCATGCTTGTAGCTGTTGCTTCAGTCTGACTCAACAGATATTCTAGTCTTAGAGTGACAATCCTGGAATCTTACTGTATAGATTTTTCCTTACACAACAAGTATGTAGTCCTAGTCACAATCTAGCTCTATAATTATAGTTTGTCCCTAGAATGATTAGCATCCTTGAATATTTTCTGAGAGCAGCACTCAAAGGTAAATCAAGTTTGTTTGTTTTGTTTTTTCAGAAATTTTATAATTGATGGGATATCGGTAGAGACAAACCATATTCTTGTTAGGATAAATCTTACAGGAGGACCAGCGGAACGGATTTTGCCTCAAAGAGTACTAAATAAGGTTAGAGGGGAAAGTTTAACAGTTGTTCTTGTGTTGGTCCTAGGACTTAAGTATTCCTACTGCTAATTCACAATATAAATATTATTTAGCATCAAGAGACAACAACTGCCTGTACATCAAGAGTGTTAACACCTTCCATTGTAAGAAAAGAGATTTGCTTAGCAAAGATGTTATTTCTAGTGTCAGTGGGCTACTAAGTGCTCAGGTAATACCATGTTCATGTCAGATTATCATTTTTTTTAATTAAAAATCTGTTTCTCTAACTGTGGAAGTGATTTTTTTTTAATTCTTTAATAGATTTATATCTGCAATATCTTCCTTTCATCAGATTTTTTTTTACCTATGGGCATAGTTTGGGAAGGGTATGGGGGGCCTGACCGTCCGAAACTGCAAGCCTTGGGCAGGACGGAATTTGCCCCCCATGCGTGGTCCCGTTGGCCAAGCTAGAACTGCCCTCTCAAATATATGCCTATGGTTTTAACCTGCTTGCATTTCATCTGCACTATCAAATACCTGTCTCTCTCATCAGTATTCTCACAGTGCAGTATTTGTTAAGCAGGTTCTTTTGTTAAGTGCTATGGTTTTATACTGACTGTCACACTCATAAGGAGAAGATTGAAATTACTGTCAGCACAGAAGAGACAACTAGATCAATGTATAAAATTGGAAATACAGTATTTCTTTTGAAAGCTATAATTTTCCTTTCAATGAAAAAATATTAAATTCAGAATTGTTAACAATAGTTATCAGAGCAAGTTGCTTAAACCTTCTGGCTCATATACTTATTGGATTTCATATTACTTTTTCTTTTAATTATAGAAAATCATACAATTAAATTGTAGTGTCTATAATTCTGACAAATCTGTTGGAGATTCATTGTACAATAGGCAAACTTTATCTGTGGATGAGTCAGGTAAACTACTATTAATTTTCCTCCTAATATCACTTTGTTCTGGTTCTTTTTTCTAGGGCACTGATCCATATCCCTGGCCAATGTTTTCATCATACCCCTTGCCAAGGTGCTATCTTTCAGAAGCTCCGAAGAAAGCTGATTTTAGACAAGGTACTAAACATATTAATAGTTCAGATGCCAAACAAACATCTTACATCAGTTTATTTTCATTCTTTTCTTGGAATGAAAACTTATAAATAGCCTGGGATTTATATTATTGGAACCATTTGTGGCCAAATGGGTTAATTTGTTTTTAGTTGTGTTGCTTTGTATACCAATCATTTTGAAAAGCTCTGTTTAGTAATCCATTTCTTATGCAAACTTCAAGATTAACCTTTTGGCTAATCTCAGGTGGGAGACACATGAGACATAAACATATCATCTTGTTTGGCAGCTGGAGTAAAACAATATGCTTACAATACAGGATTTCTTTTGTACTCCGTTTCTTGATTTGGGTCTCTCTTTGCAGAGCGTGGTGGTGTGTGAAATAGACAATGTTTGTAACAGTTGGTTCTTGCACTGAGAATCTGTGGAATGTATGCAAAGTGAGTAGTCTGTTGTAGATTCATCTAGACAAAGCATATACAGAAACCATTTTAAGATTTTATATTGAGCACATAGTACAGTAGAACTTGGTGAATAATTTATAATGAATAATTTCTCATGTGGAATTTGCCTGTTCAATTATCTGTCAGCAGATCACAACATACTCAGATGTATTCATGATGAGAAATTATTTGTAAATATATTCAGCAAATAATTCTTTCTCTCTTGGTCATTCACAATTATTCAAATTGTGAATACTCAGAAATTAGACTAAGCAAAATAATTGCATAACTCACATGGTATAGATTTCTTCCCCTGATTGTATGACTTATGATACCCTGGGTTATGCACTATGTGCCAGGGCTGGAGAATTTGAAACCAGTCTCTGTTGGTCCATGCGTGTGCCCTGGTTCACCATGTGCCTCCAACCGAGGAAATAAAGTGTTGGGAGGAATGACTGCCTCTCGAGTTCCTTCTCACCACTTCATGGTCTGGATTGGGACCTGTCGTTGTCTGCATCTTTGGCTTCATTCTGCACAATAAAAATAATCTAGTTTGTAAATAGTTTTAATAGTTTTTAATAGTTTTAATTGTTTAGCATTAGAATAGTTTCCCAGGGGCATTTCCCCCTCCATCCCTGTACCCTGTTCGGTTACAGGACTATGCCCAGTACTCCAGAATTTAAACTCTCTGCTTCCTGCCCGCGATTCTTCTATGTCAGTGATGACCACCAACACTGCCTGTACTGCCTTGGGGAAGCTCACATTGGCAAGATGCAGTATCTTTCACTTGTTCCCTAGCTGTACCTGAGAAGAGTGGGAACTTTATCTCTGTAAATACTGTGAGGGGTTCCCCCACTCCAGGGGTGCCACCTGGAACTGGGGTACCACTGAGCCCACCAGCCTGGGCTCCATTTACACTGCACTGCTGTGCAGCCTGCAAAGCCCTCCCCCAGGTGTCACACTGCACTTTACCAGCACACAAACAGGTAAGGACACACCTAACTGCAGCTATACACACACAGGCTGAAATCAACTCTGCATGGGAAGGCTCAGTTAAGGCACCTCCCAGTTCCTAAGGCATGCACCCCCCTCTGGAGTGTAAACCCAAAATTATACCGTCTTGCGCTTCACAGAGAACTGTGCAGCGTAAGCTCATGAAATTCGCCCTCTCTCTCAGTGTGGAGAGGAATATACACAGCTTTCTTCTCCAAGTTATGATTTCAACACACTGGTTTTAGACAAAACAAAACAAGTTTATTACCTACAAAAGATAGATTTTAAGTGATTATAAGGCAGTGGTGGGTAATCTGCGGCCCGTCAAGGTAATCCGCTGGTGGGCCGTGAGACAATGTTTACATCCTCAGGCATGGCTGCCCGCAGCTCCCAGTGGCCGCGGTTCGGCCTGATTCAGCAAGGAGTGGGCCTCCTGCTGTGAAGTCCGACTCTGGTGTGGGAGAATTACCCCCCACAAACCCCAAAGTGGCGTCTTGTTGGGATGCTAGGAAGTACTCTCATAAGCATGAGTTTTCCTCTAAGTCCACTTCAAAGAAATTGGACTCA